CACTATCCCTTTAAGGCTGTACTTCTGTACTTGATCCATTCGGGGACTTGAACCAGCAGCGCTCCAGTTCCTAAGCCAGGTCCCCATGGACTGAGCTCCTGCTGCTCATGATCATAAAAGTCAGGAGGATTCAGTCAGTGAGGATCATGAATGTCTGAAATCTCACGTCAGTCCACCCAGCACATGTTGAGATATTTCTGTCTCGACCAAAGAACTGGACCGACTGATATCACTGGAGCAGTTCAGCTAAAATATATTGATTAAAGCTTTAAGAGTGTACATGTGTGTACGTACACACTCTTGTTAATCAGCTTCCTCAGTATCAGTGGAGTCACCGGGCTTGTTTTGTGTTTCTGCAGAATTAGCACATCTGTGGGAAGACCCCCCACCGGGCCAACGTTAGCCCAGCTACGTCGGCCGTGGAGCACTGGGGGAAGGTTGGAGGTCCCATTCCTGAATAAATTTAGGGTCTCTCTTCTAAAGACCCAGGTGTCCGGCCCCACTGCTGACCTCTGACCCCTGCAGAAGAAAAGTTATTGAAGCCGCTGGTGAAGCCTCCTAAAGCTGACCAGCATGGAGGGGCTGGGAAAGTGGCCTGATGGAGGCGAAGGGTGGCTCAACGGGGTCACAGCAGAGAAAGACGGGGGGCTTTAGGAGGGTGAGGGGTGTTCAGTGTGTGTGTGGTGGAGGGGTGTCATGGAGTGAAGAAGTTTCCTTTGAGCACCCCCCCTTCCTCCTCCTCATGTCCACAAGTGTGTCCCTGCAGCTATTGTGACTCTGAGCTACAGCAGGACAGAAGGCCTCAAACAAACCGGGTCTAAACAATGTTTGGCCCCTTTTGTTTCTCGCCTGCCTTTCTTCTTCAGCCCTCCATCGCAATCTACTGGCCTCCTTTGTATTGATTTCCCTCATTCAGCAGCTCGTCGGCCTCTTTCCGCTGTTTTATATGCTCTTTTCTGGCTTTTTTTGTCCGCCACCTCCCCCGCTGAACCCCTCCCTCCTCCGGCATTCTCTGCAGTGTGAGAACGCACTGCGCCTCTTGACTGGATGCAACTCATTAAAGACACCTAATTGATGAAGAGTGTAATTAGTGTGACAATCGGAAAGGGGAAATCAATATGTTTTTAGCCAAAAGAGCCACATCAGGCAGGACAAGACGGAAGAGAGCAGAATGTGAGAGGAACCGTATGTTGTGGTGACGGCAGCGTGAGGAGACTCGCTGTCACTTCTACATACAAAAGAGGAGAAATTGAGCCTTGAGAAAAGAGCTTTTTGTTTTCTTCCAGGTCAGTTCTTAACTCTCGACTTGTTACAACTGCAGCACTTGGGAGTCCATTAACTTAAAATGCCTCCACACAAAAACACAAACTAGACAGGATGCTGATGTTTGGGTCATCTTCTTTTATGCTGGTACCAAATAAAACATTTACAGTCCTTACATTCAGGAGGAGCATCTTATACAGTACAAACAGTTTTCATGTCTAAGGATCCAGTTTTGACTGCAGCTGCACTCACTGCAACAGTATCAGGCCACAACATGAGGTACTGAAACTGCAGCTTGCTAGAGACAGGTTTTCTAAAGTAGAGAATGAACTCAGCAAAGATCCATTTTGGATCGAAATATCAGATTTTTTTAAATAAGAAATTGAACACAGTTAAAGGATAACTTCGGTATTTTTCAACCTGGGCCCTATTTCCCCATGTGTATGTGTGCGTATGATTCATAGGTACAACTCGTTCTAAAATTGGTTCAGTATTGAGGGAGGTGGATGCA